TAAGCAAGCGCTAAAATTATTTTTTTGCTACACCTGCTAATGGCTGGCAACATAAAAAATTTCCCCCTCCCCCCTAAAAAAAGTTTTTTCGCTTGCCTTAAAACATTTCTGCAAATACATGTAACTATTATTATTAGAATGGCTAATCATATTTATAGTGTTTTTCTAATTGTTCTTGTTTTACTTTTAAGTAAAAAAAGAAAACAAAACCCGTTTGAGTAAACAAAAGAGTCTATCATTTTTGTCGCATAGTGAAATTCAACTCAGTTTGTCTTAGATCCATTGTCACTGAGACGCTATCTCTTACTAAAATACAGAGAACCAGAATCAGTTTGGCCATTGTCAGTGTGTTTCCGTTTTGTCAGAGTGACCCCTGGTACTGTATGTCGCCACATTCATGTCTTACTCATGGTAATATAGAAAGGTTAATCATGCTAAATAAAACATCAATGTCTAAGGTAAAAGGTTATAGTACTGTGCCTAAAACACTTCGAGCCAATTGCTGCTTTAAACTTATCTGCCTATATGAATCAGCTTATTCGATTCATTCTTGAAATTGATGAGAGAACAGTCAATAACTACGATCTAGTGTTTGGAAAACATTTGAAACAGTACATCTTTAAAAACTGGCTGTCATTCTTACTACGTTGTTTATTGATAACTTTTTTTTTTACCTGTCGATTGCCAGTTTCTTGTCTATTCCCCAGTTTATCGCAGATTTTTAGTCTCATTTGAATCTTAGCGACTGTTAATTTTTGGCCTTGAATGTAAGCCTTAAATGTAATTCATAATGGACTAAAAAGCATCTTAACAAGTCTTAAATTTGACTTGATGCAACTTGCAGAATCTCTAAGGTCGAGGTAGTCAGAGGAGCACTTGTCGTGAGGATTAACACTTGTGAAGTGATCTGGGCACCGGATGCTTCTCTAACCCTACTCAAACTCGGAGGTCTCACGGGGGTCTCTGATCTCTGAAGGTGGTCAGGAGGGTTAATGGGAGTCAGAAAGGAGACTCCAGGCTCTCGCCCTATGATAATGATGTGCCTTTGTTCTGCCGATGGTAATGCCTCCTGACAGGAACTCTTTCAGGCTACAGAGGTCTCATCTAATCTCACCGCTGCGCTGAACACCTAGTCACAATCATTTCCAGAACTGCCAAAAAGAAAGCCAACACAAATTAGACGTTGTTTAGAATTTAAAAGCCTTAGAAATAATTTCAGGCAGCAGACATTCACTGGAGCAAAGATGGTGGATATTTTTATTTATTTATTTATATTGCGATTGAGGACAATGAGGAGTGATGTGTATTTGCACCTCTGCTGGTTTGACATAATGGAAACGATCATCTGTCATTAAACTGATTTCTTTTTGCAGATGGGTTAGCAAATGGAAATAGATTTTTGTGTTTCAATATGTTTGTGTTCAGGTGAAAATCTCTTTCATTTGTTTTTCATAACATATATGTGCAATAATGTTTAATTATTTCATGTTATACATTTGTATTTACGCAGGTAACCCAATAAACTGAGGTTATATTAAGTGTCCATGTATCATAAGAAGTCAAATACGTTATAAAAGTGTATTATGAAAGTAAACTGTAAATTTTAGATCTAAAAACATTCTGTACTGAAACTAGGCTTCTAAAACATCTTTCAAACGTCCACAAGTTTCTGATTCCTCCAATAAAATATTTAACTGTATCTCATTTTACATTTAAAGAGGGCATTTATTTAAGCCTTTAAAAGCTAAGTAGTAATGGATATTTTCTGTCGGATTTTAGACATTTTCATTCAATAATTTATTATGTGGAAAGTATGTGTTTAAACGTTCCTAATTTTCCTGGAGGTCTCCTGCATAATGTTTATATGAGTTCATTAAAAACACTGTAACGTTTTCCAACGCAATCCCAAGGCAATTAATTACCTTTTTGATAATTCATATTAATTTGTACAATTTCGATTGCTCAGAGGGGTATGTTTAGGGGTGGGATTTGGGGGCACTCTTTCTTTAAAAATGTTACTATTTCATATGAATGAAATTGTATGAATTCATACAAATTAGCCACTTTTCTGACATTAAATGGTTACATTTCTTCATTAAATAGTTACATTTCCTCATGAGAACTGGCTGACATGTTCCCATATAATACATCACAGCATCACCTCTTATCTTAGAGTGTCTGAAATGGTTGGTTCATTGATCTGTTCTGTCTAAGCCCCTCCCTTCTGTCAACCTGCTACAGTCTAATTCATCAGTTCATTTCTGAATTTCAGCTCACAATAATCAATGATTGGTCCTACGATTTGAGCCCAAGTCTTCATTCTTTTGAAAGAAATTTAATTGTGTCAACAGCACAAACCAAACTCTTCCATGTCTCAGTGTTTTAGAGTCCAGGTAGGCTTTGACGGGCCATGGTTCATGGTTCCTTTCTTTCGGTTCAAGTCTACCTGCAAATAAAAAAAAAATAATAATTATTATAATGGCCATTGAGAGCTACGAGCAGAGGAAAGAGTGGACGTGGCCTCCAGAGCAGAGAAAAAAGGGGAGTGAAACACTATTGTCAGTTGGCTAACAAAATGAGACACAAAGCGTGAGGAGATGCATGTTTTTATAGTTTACAAAGTTAAAATGCAAATAAATAAACTGTAATTGAATGCCCTGGTATATATGTTATTCATAATTTCATATACCACAATTTGTCATATCATTATAAAGATAAGCATGTAAACACTATACATGACGAGGACTTCTCTCCTCCTGAATCCCTGGGTTTGAATGCAGACACAGTGAACAGCAGTGCAGCAGGTCTCTTGCCATATCTACTCGAACCATAAATCCTGACAGTAATCTGGAGGATTTTAAACATAGGTGAACACATCACCATAGATATAGATATAGGTGATGTGTCTAAATGGTAACAAACTCAACTGATAAATGCCAAAGTCGCTATTCTCCAATGCTAGTACAGCTCTCCCGACAAAAATGCTTGCTACACAACAACAGCTTGGTGGTATCAGCCCTGACAACATCGCGGGGAAACACAGGCAGCAAACTCCGTGTATCATGGAAACAAACACTTAGGGCCCTATCATACACCCGGCGCAATGTGGCGCAAGGTGCAGCGCAATAGTCTTTTACTACTTTAAGCTTGGCGCAAGGGTCATTTTGAGGCATTGCGCCACGCTGTTTAAATAGTAAATGCATTTGCGCTCAAATGTGCGCCCATAGGCATTCTGGTCTAAAAAATCAGGCGTGTTTTGGCGCGTTGCTATTTTGAGAGACTGTAAATAGTCTGATCTTTAGACCAGAACAAATTCGGTCTATTGTCTAGTGCGCCTGGCTTACACACACACAATATGCAATGCGCAAATATCTTTACATATGAAAAAGATCTAATATATTAAGGATATATATAGGATATAATAAGGATATATATAGGATATAAATATAAATGATTAAAATATTACAAAACATATTAATTTCTAGCCTACATGAATTTAAAAACCACTGCCTTACTTTCTTCATCTCGGGAGGCTTTTTCAGTTCATTCAATATGCTTCTGTATAATGTTATTATTATTAGCAGCATTATTTAATATATCCATATTTATATTTGTTTTATTAAAAAAAAGCTTAGATTTGTCCACCTGTCAGGTTTTAGACCATATGCGGCATAGCAGGTGTATTTGGAAATAACTCAGTATTTTGACGAAACTTTGTTATTATTAATCATTTATTCGTTTACTGGAAATTAGAACTGAATTAGAAATAGTTTTGAAACAATTCTTTGCGCTTAACAATCGAAATTAATTATTTATAGGCTAATTGATGTCTGTGCGGTAAGGTTTCCGAGAGCAAAAGCGAAAGTGAACTTACTTTCCGTCATGTTAATAGCAATGCGCTTATGGCGCGACGCAGCTGGCTCTTAAATGTAATGGAAGATGAGAATTTGATTGGTTTATTCTCAAAACACACCTATAACTCATTAAGAAAATAAACTCAACCCTTTTAGACTATGCGCCTTGGCGCAAAGCGGATTTTCCCGTCCTTAAGTTAGCAAAAATACATTCTGACAGGCCCTGAAAGCTTTTGCGCCCTGCGTTTTGCGCTCTGCGCATGGACCATCAAAATAGAGCCTATAACGTTACGACCATTCATGAATGGCTAAATACTGCTTGCCGTACGCAGATGCTGCCTCACCCAGTAATTGGGTTTCACAGCTTGTAAACATGTGCTTTCATAGATAATTAAGAAGCAGGGTCTTATAGGATAAGAAAACTCCACTATGAACAATAATGAGAAACCGACACATCATCACTCCACTAGCAGATTTGCGCTACGTCACCAATTTTGAAATTGCCCCAATTATTTTAAACCCTAAAGATTAAATTAGCTGATAAAAGCTCAAAATTAGCCAGTTTTCCCCACAATTGAAGCTGACAGGTGCCAAAGTTGGCTTAACTGATGCTCAATAATCAGAAATCTGTTAAATTCTCAAAAAAAATTATTTGGAATTAATTTTGTTTATTTATTTATTTTTACAATAAGGGACAGTGTACATTAATCAACGTTCTCCAAGAACTTACTGTAAATGTACACTACCCAAATTAGCCCAACAACTTCAATAGTGGTTGCTTATCCAGATATGATACCAAAAAAATTCTAAAAAATATACTTAAATTATTTAAAAGATACACATTCTCGAACAGATTGTGCTATCAAATTCCACTGATGCAATGCTCTAAATGAAAAACAAGCTTGTTAATAAATAAAGAAAAGAATATTTGGAAGTAGTTTGTATTATATATTATTGATTGTTTTATTATTGATATATAATTGATCATTGATTATTAAAGAGTGATTCTACTGCAATTTGCTTTTTGTCACTGAAAGCTTGGATAGCTCAAAATTATAAATCTGAAAAGTCATAAACCTTATTCTTTGCACTGTTTTTAAATAAAAATGTTCCCTGTGTGTCTGTTTTTGTGTGTGTGTCGGTCAGAGAGCAGATGTAGGTCTTTCAGCCCTGACCATCACTCCTGAGCGGGAGAGCGTGGTGGACTTCACCACCCGCTACATGGACTACTCTGTCGGCGTGTTGCTGAGGAAGGCGGAGAGGACGGTGGATATGTTTGCATGCCTGGCGCCCTTCGACCTGTCTCTGTGGGCATGTATAGCAGGCACGGTTCTGCTGGTGGGCACTCTGGTGTATCTGCTCAACTGGTTGAACCCTCCCCGACTGCCGATGGGCTCTGTCTCCTCCACAACCCTCTACAACTCCATGTGGTTTGTCTACGGCTCCTTTGTCCAGCAGGGTGAGTTCATGTCTGAGATTTTATTTGTGCTGAAAGAAGAAAGTAGATACAAGAGCAAGGAAAAAGTAGAAATGTAGAGAACAGCGGGACCGAAAGATAGTTTTAAGTGCTCACTTTTTTTTTCAAGTGTGTGTGTGTGTGTGTTTTCTGCACCAGATATTAAATGTGACAAAAAGAGAAAAAGTACTGAGATAGAGTCAAAGGAAAGTTGAAAATTATACGCAAATCATATCTGCACTTTTTGGCTTTCTTTGAAAATCTTAAAGGGTCAAAAGCTTTTTTTTTTGGACAAAGGATAGAGAAATACAAAACTGTGAGCCAGAAAGGGAGGGGTAAGCTTTAGAAAAGGGAAATAACAGAGAAAGATGAGGGTAGAATAGTCAAGTGCGTCATTCACTGGAAGGGTTTTGTGTTCTCAACATGTTGAGAGAACAATTCATGTCATTAATTATCAGCAATATTTTGGCATGTTTTGATACAGACTGCTTGCAAAGGCCAATTCCAGTGTTACGGGTGTGACATCTGCAGTCACAATGTTTAATGAAGCTTCTGAGAGAAATAGCTAATTAAAACAGTCCATTTGCACCTTCCCAAAATCTCACTGCAGAAAATGATTTGCGATATTGGCTATTTGAAGCGTCTGCTACTTGTAGATGTTCTTTGACCTAAGATGTACCCTTCAGAGACAACAATACCTATTAAAGGATTTTTGGTTCTTTCTGGACCAGATTTGTGTATGACTATTGCCCTCAAATATGTGTACCCAAAAATTTTAATGATCAGAATCGACTCTGCCTCGTGTCATTCAATTGTTTGTTTGTTATTATTATTATTATTATTATTATTATTATTATTATTATTATTTCTTGTGTGGAAACAAGAGAAAACATATTAATGAATGGTTGTAATCAAACAGTTTAAGTTCCCTTTTATTTTTATTGTATAGACAGAAAGTACAATTGAAGTCAGTGGGGAACCAAAGCTGGTTATCAGCATTCTTAAAATGTGTTATATTTGTGAGAGCAAATCTCTGAGAGCAGAGCTCTCTCTGAGTCTACAGATTTCAAAGAAAATCTTAGTATGATGGACACATTTTTTTCCTGTGAATGAAGTTGAGTTTTCAGCTACTTTTGAATGTTGTCAGAAATTTGGCGTTTCAGATGGGCTGGAGAAGATAATTCCACCAGAATGGAACAGAGAATGAACATGCTCATGTCCTAAAAAGTGATGTTGTGCTTCTTTGTAATGGTACTTTACCATGAGGAATTGGTTGCAAATTGTCCTCTCTAAAATATTTTGGCTATATTTGAGCTATACAGGCTACAGTTATAAAACAATGGGCCTGTTCGATAAATTAATGAACAGATTAAGCATTCTGTGGTGCATTGAGTCTTTATAAAGTAATGTGTATATAAATGTGGTTTCAGTTCAATTCTATTGCATGTCCGGTAATAAAAGAATGTGTAAATTATCATTCAGACATGTGTAGATATTACTATGGGAAAGGCTTATTAACCTTGTAAAGTAAAAATGTAGTACCCACCAAACAAGGCTGATTATACAGTGCCTTCCTGTGAATTTGTAATTATTTTTGAAATACTTCCAAAGTTCTGTTTACCGTTTAAGTAAAGATATGATTTTTTCAATATATTTTTAAACATTTAATTTTGTATATCTTTGCCATGATGACAGTACATCCTATTTCGCTAGTTATTTTGCAAGAGGCTCATAATCAGCTTAAAGTGCAGTTTAAAGACTTAAGTAGGATAAATAGGCAAGTTTGGTTAATTAGGGAAGTCATTGGAGGATAGTGGTTTGTTCTGTATCCAATCAAAAAATAAGAGGAGAAATAAAAATTGACTTTAAAAAATATATTTAAAAAAGCTAATTGAGAAACTGCCATTATTCTAACCTAACTGAAATAAATAGAGCATTCTTCAGGGGAGAAAACACACTATTATTGTAAGTCAGGGGTCTCAAACTCAAATTTTCAGGGGGTTATTTCAGTGACTGAGAATTTACAGAAGGGTAATTTTAATATTTAAGCACAAAAAAAGTGGAAACCTGCACTCAGACATTCTTCCCCAGAGTATATGCAGTCAAACCTCCATTTTGTTTCTGTAGGTAGTTTATATTGCTATGAAAATACTAATATATATATATATATATATATATATATTTATAAATTATTATAATAATAAAATAATATGCATATTATTATTATTATTAATAATAATAATTATTATTATTATTATGTGATTATTATTATTATTATTATTATTATTATTACTATTATTATTATATGTCCCAATCAGTCGTTGCTTAAACAAAAGAATACAGATAGCGTAAGACAAAAAAGAAGAAGATTGGGTAACTTGAGTGACTTTACTGGCAATTGTTAACCTCAATATTTTTATTTTTTGTAAAACTACAAATATTCACTTAAACCTGTTAAATTCAGTCAGCTGTAAAACTTTACTAATGCACATTTTGTGTACAAATCTCAACATGCATACGAGATAAATCGATCAAATGAGGACATTTGAATCCATTATTAGCTAAATGATCATATTAACACCACCAGCATAACGTGTAAGCAATGAAGAAGAATCAAATGACCCTTCATTATTTACAAAAATGTAGCTGTAGTAAAAATAGACCACTTATGAACATATATTCAACGTTTAAATCAGACCCAGAATTTGTTTGCATGTGCATTACTCTCAACCGCACACCGAGAGAAACCAAAAGTAACTTGGACATTTAGTACAGTACTATAAATGTCCACTAGGTGGGGGGGGGGGTCAAAACCACAAGTGGCTATATGCGACTGCAAAACAATGATAATGATTCAAAAATATATGTTTTGGTGGTTCGAATTCCGTTATATTTCGATGTCAGTTGTGGGCCGGAGAGAGGAAAAATGAGGTCCGCAAATCCGCGAGGTGACAGTTTGAGACCCCTGTTGTAAAAACTGTGAAAATGTTCTTGCTCTTAAACATCACTTTGGAAATATTTAATAAAGAATGAAAAATTCACAGGAGGCCTAATAATTTTGCCTTCAACTATATTGATATGCACCTTGTGTGTTGGATAAACAATAAAATGTCCTTTAAAAAAAAGTATATTAGACATCATTAATACAATAAAATAGAGGCCTAAATGAGGTTTCGTTCCATGGGTAAACACTTCATTATCCCATGGTAAGGTTGACATTTGCATGGAATTGCACTTAACCAAAAATCAGCGAATTTACATGAGCGGGTTATAATGATGATGATTATAATAAGACAGCCTAATTGCTCTCTTGTATCTGGGTCCATTTCTGTTCTAATTGCAATCTATGCTTCTTTTTGAAGCGCGCTCATTATGGTGAGAAATCAGTTTATTAATGCGCTTTCATCAGACCACTGAACCGAGTTTGGTGTCTTCTTAGGATGAAATTGTTTAAATGGAGCTGATTACATGCTGTGGAACAAACTATGGTACTAGACGGAGGCAAACAAACATGGAAACCCATGCACACAATTGCTTGGTGTGCTTACATATGTTCCCCCAACCACTTAAAACATCACTATTATCCTTTTGTCTTGCCATGCTGTTTGATGTTTTGTCGAGAGCTGGTGGTACAAATGCACCCAATCTCTGAAACAAGAGAAATGTGAGTGTGAGGGAAAGGACGGAGCTGGAATCGCGTTGCTATAGTCGCTCTCTTTGATGAGTCACTTTCATCCGGCTCACGCAAACCTCTGACTCTCACTTCTTGACTTTTTGTTTTACATATCCTCCCTTAAACAAATATCACTTCCACATTCTTTTCTTTGCTGTTGTGTATCTTATGTAGTGATAATTAAATGTACTGTGGACTGCATTTTAGCTTTTCTCAGTTTTTTGTTTGTTTTATTTATTATTAGAATAATGGTGCATTAGTTAATGTTACTTAATGTATTTACTAACATTAAAAAAGCATAAATAATCTCATAAAACATATATTAATCATAGTTTAGAAGAAACAAATGCATTATTAAAATCCAAAGTTCTGAATGTTAACATTAGTTAAAAGTGCAGTAGGTGATCTGCCAAAAAGCTAAATGCTTAGCATATTATCTTTGGACGGCGGGGAGGGACTGTGATTCAAAGCCACACCCCCTGAAATCGCGAGCGCGCGCAACAGCCGACAGACAACCCACTAGTTCAGGTCATTTGCCAGTTAGTAAGTGCCAGCACCATGCAGGAATTACATTTATTATACTTAGCCACACTTACATGCTATTTCAGAGCGAATATTCAGAGTAGCATAGTAAACAGTATAGGAAGGCTATCATTGTTCAAAAATGACCCAATGTGAAAATAAAAGCAACTTCAGCTCAGTAAAGCAGGCTAGGTGGAATAGCGCTATTACTGGTGTTTTGTTGTTAAACTAAATATAAATCTACATTATAGATGCTGTCAAAGAACCTTTTGAAACTGAAACCTTATGAAATGAAAGGCTGAACAACACGTCTGTGCATATAAGTCATTCATAACAAAACACAATCTAACATAAAATAGTTTCAAAACAGAACATTACCTAACAGTAATACTTCAGCCATGGTGTCGTCCTTCCTCCAGCGTAACTCCAATATTGATTCAGGTATTTAAAAGATTCAATTCAGCTTTTGATTTCTCCCGGTCCATCTCGTGACCGCGCGGCCGCTTTAAGAGCGAATTATACCTGCGTCTGGTTTTACAGTAATCGGCCCGAGCTCGGCTGTCCTTCGGCACCTCCGGCTCCGACTTGGCATCTGCGAGCGGCCTGCAGCTCGTTCATGCGCATGCATTTGTGATGCAGACAAGCACGCGCTAATGGCCGAACACATGCACAGAAGTCGGAATCTACATTTGCTGACAGACAGTCTGACCAGCTTATCGGAATTAAGGGAGATGACGGTCCGACTCTATTTAATTGGATGAACATTTTTTAGTTTTATGCTTTACCCAGAATATAAAAATACATATAA